GAAACCCCGTCTCTACTAAAAATACAAAAAAAAAAAAAAAAAAAAAAGAATTAGCCAGGCGCCTGTAGTCCCAGCCACTTGGGAGGCTGAGGCCGGAGAACGGTGTGAACCCAGGAGGCGGAGCTTGCAGTGAGCCGAGATCCCACCACTGCACTCCAGCCTGGGCGACCGGGCAAGACTCTCAGAAAAAAAAAAAAAAAAGGAAAGAAAAACCCATCTTCTGGGGAGAAATTCAAGCTGGCTGCAGATATTCGCATAAGAAGCAAGAGGCCCAATGTTAATTCCCAAGACCATGGAGAAAATGTCTCCGTTCCATGTCAGAGAAATTCCTGGCAGCACCCCTCCCAACACAGGCCCAGAGGCCCAGGAGAAAAAAGTGGTTTCATGAGCTGGGCCCAGGGTCCCCATGCTGTGTCCCAGCCGCCCCAGCCGTGGCTTAAAGGGGCCGATGTACAGCTCAAGCTGTGGCTTCAGAGGGTGGAAGCCCCAAACCTTGGCAGCTTTCACATGGTGTTGAGCATGTGGGTTCACAGAAGTCAAGAACTGAGGTTTGGGAACCTCCAACTCGATTTCAGAAGATACATGGAAACATCTAGATGCCCACACAAAAGTTTGCTGCATGGGCAGTGCCCTCATGGAGAACCTCTACTAAGGCAGTGCAGAAGAGAAATGTGGGGTCGGAGCCCTCGACACGAGTCGCTACTGTGAGTCCCAGCTGTGAGAAGGCGGCCACTGCCTTCCAGACCCCAGAATGGTAGATCCACTGACAGCTTGCACTGTCGCCTGGAAAAGCTGCAGACACTCAAGGCCAGCCCGTGAAAACAGACAGGAGGGAGGCCGTTCCCTGCAAAGCCACAGGAACAGAGCTGCCCAAGACCATGGGAACCTACCTCTTGCATCAGCGTGACCTGGACGTGAGACCTGGAGTCAAAGGAGTTCATTTTGGAGCTTTAAAATTTGACTGCCCCGCTGGATTTTGGACTTGCATGGGCCCTGTAATCCCTTTGTTTTAGCCAGTTTCTCCCATTTGGAATAGATGTATTTACCCAATACCTGTACTCCCATTTTATCTAGGAAGTAACTAGCTTGCTTTTCATTTTGCAGACTCACAGGCAGAAGGGACTTGCCTTATCTCAAATGAGACTTTGGGCTGTGGACTTTTGGGTTAATGCTGAAATGAGTGAAGACTTTGCAGGACTGTTGGGAAGGCAAGATTGGTTTTGAAATGTAAGGACATGAGATATGGAGGGACCAGGGGTGGAATGATATGGTTTGGCTGTGTCCCCACCCAAATCTTAACTTGCATTGTATCTCCCAGAATTCCCACATGTTGCAGGAGAGACCCAGGGGGAGGTAACTGAATCATGGTGGCTGGTCTTTCCCATGCTATTCTGGTGATGGTAAGTCTCATGAGATCTGTTGGGATTATCATGTTTCCGGTTTTGCTTCTTCATTTTTCTCTTGCCACCACAACGTAACAGGTGCCTTTCGCCTCCTGCCACGATTCTGAAGCCTCCCCAGCCATGTGGAACCATAAGTCCAATTAAACCTCTTTTTGTTCCCAGTTTCGGATATGTCTTTATCAGCAACGTGAAAACGAACTAATACATACACCCCATCTCTACTAAAAAATACAAAAATTAGCTGGACATAGTGGCACACGCCTATAGTCTAAGCTACTCAGAAGGCTGAGGTGGGAGGACCAGAGCCCGGGATGCAGAAGTTGCAGTGAGCTGAGATCACACTACTGCACTCCAGCCTGGGCAACAGAGGGTGACCTTGTCTCAAAAAAAGAAAAAAGAAAAAAAAAACGGATTATCTACACCATGCTTGAATAGCACATATTATATATTATGGCTCCTAATCTTTTTTTTTTTTTTTTTTTTGAGACAGAGTCTTGCTCTGTCGCCCAGGCTGGGGTGCAGTGGCCGGATCTCAGCTCACTGCAAGCTCCGCCTCCCGGGTTTAGACCATTCTCCTGCCTCAGCCTCCCGAGTAGCTGGGACTACAGGTGCCCGCCACCTCGCCCGGCTAGTTTTTTGTATTTTTTAGTAGAGACGGGGTTTCACCGTGTTAGCCAGGATGGTCTCGATCTCCTGACCTCGTGATCCGCCCGTCTCGGCCTCCCGAAGTGCTGGGATTACAGGCTTGAGCCACCGCGCCCGGCCTATGGCTCCTAATCTTAATCCAAATATTTTCCAGATGCAACAATGAAGCAAGGCAGAAGCTATTCTCAGTCAAGAACCGAGTATCTTTTCAGACCAGTTGCTTTCAAGAATCTGTCAAGCAATGTCTCCCGATAAGCTGGGTTCCATGACACCTTGCAAGTTACTAGATGTTTAGAATAGTAGTTCCACATGGATGGAACTGGAGGCCATTATCCTTAGCAAACTAACGCAGGATCGGAAAGCCAAATAGCGCATGTTCTCACTTATAAGTGGGAGCTAAATGATGAGAACGTGTGGACACATAGAGAGAAACCACACACATTGGGGCCTTCCGGAGGGTGAAGGGTGGTAGGAAGGAGAGAATCAGCAAAAATAACTAATGAGTACTAGGCTTAATCTATGTAACAAACCTGCACATACACCCCTGAGCTTAAAAAGGTAGTTTCAAAATAATAGCATTTTGGCCGGGCGCGGTGGCTCAAGCCTGTAATCCCAGCACTTTGGGAGGCCGAGACGGGCGGATCATGAGGTCAGGAGATCGAGACCATCCTGGCTAACACAGTGAAACCCCGTCTCTACTAAAAAATACAAAAAAACTAGCCGGGTGTGGTGGCGGCGCCAGTAGTCCCAGCTACTCGGAAGGCTGAGGCAGGAGAATGGTGGGAACCCGGGAGGCGTGAGTCATCGTGCCTGGCCCAAATTTTTTTTTAATTAGCCAGGCATGGTGGCACATGCTTGTAGTCCCAGCTAGTGAAATACCATCTCTACAAACAAAAATTTTTTTTTTAATTAGCCGGGCGTAGTGGCACATACTTATGTCCTAGCTACCCAGAGGCTGAGGTGGGAGGATCACCTCAGCCCAGGAGTTGGAGGCTACAGTGGGCTGCAGTGATTACGCCCCTGCACAAAAGCCTGGGAGACACAGTGAGACCCTGTCTCAAAAATAAAGAAAGAAAAATAACAAAATTACAAAAAAAAAACAAGCAAACAAAAAACCCCAGCTAAAACAATGAACTTGAGACATGCTTTCTTTTAAAAGTCCCTGAAATTGGCTTACTTTGTGACACTGTTTTCATTTAACATCATGAAGAATTATCTCCTGTGGGAGTGTCATATGACTGCTGCTCTGGAATTTTTTTTTTTTTTTTTTTTTGAGACGGAGTCTCACTCCATTGCCCAGGTTAGAGTGCAATGGTATGATCTCGGCTCACTGCAACCTCCACCTCCTGGGTTCAAGTGATTCTCCTGCCTCAGCCTCCCAAGTGAGTGGGCGCCTGTAATCCCAGCTACTCAGGAGGCCCAAGCAGGAAAATCGCTTGAACCCAGGAGGTGGAGGATGCAGTGAGCCGAGATTGCGCCACTGCACTCCAGCCTGGGCAACAAGAGCAAAACTCTGTCTCAAAATAAAATAAATAAATAAATAAATAAAACTCCATCGTTAACAATGTAGTATAATGCAGTCAAATAATTTCTTTAAAAAAAGTAAATTTTCCTATAAAATCATTTCATCACGTATCTGAAAAAGACTCCAGTCTAGAGCTAAATCCAAGAGATTACATAGAAAGACAAAGTACTCCAGGAGAGTAACTTCATTTCCTTAGATCAATCTTTGTATTTCCTTTCTTACCCAGAGAGGTGAGTTTCTAGAGTTTTAAAATTGTTTTCTGAAAAAATGGTGGCAAAATTTATCAAAAGATTAACTTCACGTTCTTGAAGTATCATGTGCTCTGTATGAATAACTGAAGACATGAGAGATTTTAGACTTCTCCCATTCACACTATTACAAATGATAAATGAAAGTTTTTTTGTTGTTGTTTGTTTGTTTGAGACAGAGTCTTGCTCTGTCGCCCAGGCTGGAGTGCAATGGCATAATCTCGGCTCATTGCAACCTCTGCCTCCTGGGTTCAAGCGATTCTCCTGCCTCAGCCTCCTGAGTAGCTGAGATTACAGGCGCCTGCCACCACGCCCGGCTAATTTTTTGTATTTTTACTAAAGGCAGGATTTCCCCATGTTGGACAGGCTGGTCTCGAACTCCTGACCTCGTGATCCACCCACCTCGGCCTCCCAAAGTGCTGGGATTACAGACGTAAGCCACCACACCCAGCCTAAATGAAAGTTTTTAATCCAATACTGAGACTTTTTGATGGGGGACTGAGTCTCGCTCTGTCGGCCAGGCTGGAGTGCAGTGGCGCAATCTCCGCTCCCTACAAACTCCACCTCCCAGGTTCAAGCAATCCTCCTGCCTCAGCCTCCCAAGTAGCTGAGATTACAGACACCTACCACCGCGCCTGGCTAAATGCTGCATTTTTATTAGAGACAGGGGGTTTCACCATGTTGTCTGTGCTGGTCTCAAACTCCTCACCTCAAGTGATCTGCCTGCCTCAGCCTCCCCAAAGTGCTGGGATTACAGGCGTGAGCCACTGCATCCAGCCTAAAACACTGAGACTTGAACATATCTAACTTCTTATTCTGCTTCAGCTTAGAAGCCCATCTATGATTCACTAGCATCTGCTGTCGGCAGGTAACAAAAACAAAAAAAGAGATCAGGTTGGTTTATCAGTATGGTAAAATCACTGAGGAATGGACTGAGCTCAGGTGTGGTTCATTGGACTGAGCTCAGGTATGGTTCATTGAAAAAGATGTAAATTTATTTGACAGCTTCACCACTCTTCACTTTTCTATTAGTTACAGCTAACCACTATACTTCACTCATTTTGCAAGATTTAAGCTACCCATCCAAAATTTACATATGAAAATATTTTCTATTTTACAATTAGCCTTGAGCCAAAGATTAAGCTACCACTTTTTTCACTGAGAAGCATTCCTACCGACCTCAAATCTCCTAACTCCAGCATTAAAGGCAAGTGCTGCAAATAGGTGGTCCACGGCTTTAAATCTGAAGAAATAAAAAGTAGAAATAGTTTTGGGGTTTTGAAATCAATCAGACTTAGATTTAAGTAACACAATGTAAGTCATATCTGGATGTCCATTTTTTTCTTATTAAGAGCAATCATGTTTGGCTTTGCCCTTTGCCTTTTTTTTTTTTTTTTAGACAGAGTCTTGCTCTGTCGCCCAGGCTGGAGTGCAGTGGCGTGATCTCGGCTCATTGCAACCCCTGCCTCCCGGGTTCACACCATTCTCCTGCCTCAGCCTCCCGAGTAGCTGGGACTACAGGCACTCGCCACCACGACCAGCTAATTTTTTTGTGTGTATTTTTAGTAGAGACGTGGTTTCACCGTGTTAGCCAGGATGGTCTCGATCTCCTGACCTCGTGATCTGCCCGCCTCGGTCTCTTAAAGTGTTGGGATTACAAGCGTGAGCCACTGCGCCCGGCCTGCCCTTTGCCTTTCACCAGAAGTCCCAAATATACATTATGAGATGGTTTCTAGTATAGCCTTGTGATGGTTAATTTTACATTCCAACTTGGCTAGGCCCAGTATATTTGATCAACCATTAGTTTAGATGTTGCTGTGAAGATATTTCTTTAGATAGGATTAGCATTTAAGTCAGCAGACTCAGAGTAAAGTCAATTAGCTTTATAACGTGGGCGGGCCTTATTCTATCAGTTAAAGGCCTTAATAGAAAAAGACAAGACTGATTTCCCAAGGAAGATATAATTCTGCCAACAGACTGCATTTGGACTTGAGATGCAACATCACCTCTTCTCCAGGTCCCCGACCTGTCGGCCTACCCTACAGATTTTGAACTTGCAAGCCTTCACAACAGACAGACACACACATACACAATCAAATACACACACACACACCCCCTACTGGTCTTGTTTTTCTGGAGAACCCTAATATACTGCCATATTCCAGCAGCAGTATTCTTCTCCTATAATATAGAACCTTTATTAATATAAGCTTAGTCTGTCCGTAAACTCTACGAGAATGAACATTTTTCACTCTTTATACTGCTTGAACTCTACTCCCTGGGTACCCTCCAAGCAAATTAATGCTTTCAAAGATTATCAAATGTAATAAACTGCTCTCCATTCTACAACAAAGATGTGCTGAATAAGGGCTACTTGAAGAATAAAGTAGGTAACTGAGAACTCATCCTATTCTTGTTCCTTCATTGCTTTCTTTCCACTAAGTTTTTCACATTCACTGCCGCTGCAGCTTGTAAGCACCCTCTCATTACTGCCGATCTTTCCTTTCCTTACTTTTCTCTCCTTCTGTCTTCTCTCTCAGTCTGTCTACCTTATCACCTCCTGGATTTCCTTATCACCTCGTGGATTTCCTTATCACCTCCTGGGTGCATCCTTATTGCCACACCAGACTGATCAAACACATTAGGGATAATCTTCATCCCAGATGCGTTCAGTTATTGATGGGTGCTCAAAGACTACTTCTTCACCGTCCCTCAAAAAAGAGAAAGTTTCAGGCTGGGTGCGGTGGCTCACGCCTGTAATCCCAGCATTTTGGGAGGCCGAGGCGGGTGGATCATGAGGTCAGGAGTTCGAGACCAGCCTGGCCAAGATGGTGAAACCATGTCTCTACTAAAAATACAAAAATTAGCCAGGCACAGTGGCAGGCCCCCATAATCCCAGCTACTCAGGGGGCTGAGACAGGAGAATCATTTGAACCGGGCGGCAGAGGTTGCAGTGAGCCAAGATTGCACCGCTGCACTCCAGCCTCGGGGACAGAGTGAGACTCCATCTCAAAAAAAAAATAAAAAGTTTCCCACTCAAGCCTGTAATCCCAGCACTTTGGGAGGCTGAGACGGGCAGATCACAAGGTCAGGAGATCGAGACCATCCTGGCTAACACGGTGAAACCCCGAACCCCGTCTCTACTAAAAAAACACAAAAAACTAGCCGGGCGAGGTGGCGGGCGCCTGTAGTCCCAGCTACTCAGGAGGCTGAGGCAGGAGAATGGTGTGAACCTGAAAGGCGGAGCTTGCAGTGAGCTGAGATCCGGCCACTGCACGCCAGTTTGGGCAACAAAGCGAGACTCTGTCTCAAAAAAAAAAAAAAAAGTTTCCCACTTTTGTCTTCAAAATGAAGCCATTTTGAACACCTGAAGGTTCTAAAGAAACTGAATTATGACTTTAGATTATGTCATAAATCGCTTTTTCCTTGTACTTTTTATCTCAGCTGTTGTGTATCATACACATGTACAGTCCTTCCAGGACCCCTCAGATACCAAAAAAACGATGCTCGAATCCCTTACGTAAAATGGCATAGTATTTGCATATAACCTACACACATACTGTCATATACTTTAAATCATCTCTAGATTACTTAGAATACCTTAAAAAAAAAAAGCTATATAAGTTGTTATTATATTGTATTGTTTAGGGAATAATGACAGAAAAACTGCATGTTCAGTACTGACACAACTATCATTTTGTCTGAATAGTTTCAATCTGCAGTTGGTTGAATCCACTATACAAAACCCATAGATATGGAGGGCCAACTGCATATGCCACAAATAGTGGGAGGGAATGTGAGGACAAACATTCACTGTTTTAGTATGATTTTCAAGATTGTGGATCACTTTTTTCTTTTAAATTTACTTTAATGTTGGCCTGCAGTGGTGGCACACTATAATCTCCGCCCCTTGGGAGGCTGAGGTGGGAGGATTGCTTGAGGCCAGAAGTTTAACACTGGCCTGGGCAATGCAGTAAGACCCATCTCTAAAAAAAAAGAAAAGAAAAGAAAAAATTATAACATTTAGCCATGCATGGTGGCATGTGCCTATAGTCCCAACTACTCAAAAGGCTAAGGTGGGAGGATCACTTGAGCCCAGGAGTTCAAGGCTTCGGTGAGCTATGATGACACCACTACACTCCAGCCTAGGCTTTTTATAAAAGTCCTCTTTAAAAATCCTTCAAGAAGAAAACACAGTTGCCTTGTTCTTTATATAACTATCTAGTCTTTCTGGGAAGTTGTAATAAAGACACATTCTTTGCATCTATATTAACTTTGTTGCTTTCTATCTTATATTCTCTCCCCTTTGTATCTAGACCAGGGATCAGCAAACTCTGCAAAGATAGTAAGTATTTTAGGTTTTGTGGGCCATTCAGATTCTGTAGCAACTCTTCTGCCACTGTAGTAAGAAAGCAACAATAAACTATGTATTGGCTAGGTAAGTGCCACGGCTCACTAGTCCAGAACTTTGGGAAGCTGAGGCAGGAGGATCCCTTGAGCTCAGGAGTTTGAGATCAGCCTGGGCAAAACAGCAAGACCTCGTTTCTACCACAAATTTAAAAATTAGCCAGGAATGGTGGCACATCACTGCATTCCAGCCTGGGCGACAGAGTGAGACTATGTCTCAAAAAACAAAACAAAACAAAACAAAAAACCCCAACATATAAACAATATATAAGATATAGAGGCTGTTCATTGCGCTACTGTCCACAGGTAGCTGCCACAGCCGCCCCCGCTTGCTGTCGCCCCAGAATGCCCTCACATCACCCTGGGCCTCCATTTCAGGGCCCCCTTTCTGGGGGTGCCCTCACCTCTGTGCCAGACCCCAGGATATGGCTTCCTGCCCCCTGCCCGGGAGATGTTCGCCTGGCAGCAGGAGCTCCTGCAGAAGCAGAACCTGGCCCGGCGCCGTAAGACTCTCCATGGATGGGAATGAGGTCCTGGCCCCTGAGGACATCAGCAAGTGGACCGTGGATGATGTCTGCAGCTTCGTGCAGGGGTCCTGTCTGGCTGTGGAGAGTACACTGCGGTCTTCAGGGAGCAGGGGATCGATGGGGAGACCCTGCCACAGCTGACGGAGGAGCACCTGCTGACCACCATGGGGTTGAAGCTGGAGCCTGCCCTCAAGGCCCAGGCCCAGGTGGCCAGGTGCCTGGGCCGCATCTTCTACATGGCCAGCTTCCCCGTGGTTCTGCCGCTGCAGCCACCAACCCTGCGGGCCCCGGATCGGGAACTCAGCACAGGAGAGCAGCCTTTGTCCCCCATGACGGCCACTTCCCCCTATGGAGGGGGTCACGCCCCTGCGAGCTGAGCTTCACCCAAGCAAGAAAATGGGACCCTGGCTCTGCTTCCAAGGGCCACCGACCCTTCCCAGCCTCTGTGCTGAGGTGCCCAGGGGTGGCGGGTGGGGCCACACAAACTCCCAGGAGCCACCACTTGATGTGACGGCCCTGCCTCCCACAGCTTGTTTGCTTTCTTTCAGTTTTAGATGCAAAAAACAAAAACAAGAAAAAAAAAAATTTTTTTTAAAGGAAAATGTGAAAAAAAAAAAAGAAGAAGACATGGTTTTATTCCAACAAAACTTTATGGACGCTGAAATTTGAATTTCACTTATTTTTTTTTTAATTATTAGTTTATCAAATGGATTTTATAAAATTATTTTACAAAATATTTTCTTTTGATTTTTCAACCACTAAAAATTGAAAAAAAAAACAACATTTTTAGGCTTATGGTACAAAATCAGGTGGCAGGCCGGCCATGCTGGCTCACACCAGTAATCTCTGCGCTTGCGGAGGCCAAGGCAGGAGGATCACTTGAGCCCAGGAGTCTGAGACCAGCCTGGGCAAAAAAGTGAGATCCCCATCTCCACAAAAAATGAAAACTTAGCCAGGCGTAGTGGTGTGCATCTTGTGATCCCAGCTACGCAGGAGGCTGAGGCAGGAGGACTGCGTGAGCCCAGGAAGTCAAGGCTGCAGAAAAGCCATGCTCAGGCCACTGGACTCCAGCTTGGGGCACAGAGACCCCTTCTCAAAACAAAAACAGTAGGATTTGACTTGCTAGCTCTAGTCTGCAAACCCTCTTATACCTAGAAATTATCGGATACAGCTACTTCTAATAGTAGTCTCTATTTCATAAGATTGTCAGGAAGATAGGGCCGGGCGTGGTGGCTCACCCCTTTAATCCCAGCACTTTGGGAGGCCAAGGTGGGCGGATTACCTGAGGTCGGGAGTTTGAGGCCAGCCT